CCTTTCTTGCTGTAGATGATCACATGCATTTGTCTAGACCTTTCTACAATTACCCTCTGATTCAGAGCTACTATACAGACCACCGCCAGAAACTCGAGYGTTTATCGAGGTAAGACTTGTAGGAAACCTCCAGAAAGCTTCCACTGCTGGACTGTGTGAGAGTGGTTATTTTTGCAGTTAAAACCCTTTGTCTGCACTTCCTTGGTGTTACACAAAACACAGTAAGAAAGAAAACTAAACCCCAGAGGTCTTTGCAACTCTTCTCTTGAATTTTTACTTTGGACTTCTTTATTAATTCATAGTGACCTAAGGCCCATCTTYCCTCTGACTCAGAAATCTGTGSCATTGAAAGGCTGAAATGAGTGTTTTACTTTGTGTAAACCCTTGCTACCATTYGTTTCAGAGGCAAATGGGATTCTGACTGCCTGATGATTGAYGGAATGGTTTCCCAGCTGGGAGAGCAGGTTGAGAAGCTGTGGCGRAGAGATGAAGGTGGCACTGGSAAATACCCACCTGTTAGTTTACATGTGAGTGTTCTGTTCACTGAAAACCCCRTGAGCAGCAGCAGCAGTCCCCTAAAGCCAATGATTCTGAAAKAGAGGAGCATTAGACAACCTTTAAATCTTTCATTTCAGGCACTGCTGGATCTCTATTTGCTAGAAAGCATTGAAGAAAGTGACAAACATGCAATTGTATCCTTTCCAATTTTTATTATTACCTCTTCGGTGCACATAAATGCTCTTACCTATTTGYAACCTGTGTGGTTAGCACCACTTTTTAAATTATGCCTCAAACACAATGTGAGGGAACACATTCAGAATAGAGTTATGTCCTAGACTGAAGCATTGCTTATTTTCATTCTCGTTTAGAATTTTTATGATTTTTTTTGAAAGAGTTTTGTTGCAAAAGCTCTTCTGATATGGGATAGCATAGTGCCTAAGAAGTATTAAAGATAAAGACCTCCCTTAATTTTTCTCAAAATTTAACACAGTGTATAATTTTTTGTTTCATTCCTTTCTATATCAAATGACTATGTGTTAGAATGGTGCCCTGAAASTRAATGGTGCTGCCTCAGAGCCAAAGTATTTATAATAGTGGTTTTCCAGTAGCTAATTTTTGCCAAAATCGTCTGTTTCCCAGCCCAGCTAACAATGTTTGAGTTCTTTTTGTATTCATTGAGCACAAATCTAAAGTTCAATCTTCTGCAACGTGCAGGCTTACTTTTGTTTGTTGGCTAAACCAAGAGGGGAGCCTGGAGAGCAAGAGGTTTAAAAATGGTTGTACTCCTGAGCTGCCTGCTCAAACACATCCCTAACAGTCAGAAAGGGAAGATGGCACTTTGAGTGCGGGATCCAAATAAAGTTTTAAACAGAGTTTCAATCACTCAGTGCAAGTTGTATTGTAAGGGCACTGTAATTTGTGTTGTTTTTTTGAATTCAGGAAAAGAGGAAAACAAAACAGCTGTAGAGCTTGTTTTCTTTGATAATTAAGAACTGACTGTTCAAGTGTCAAGGTCAAGTTGTACCTTCACTGACTGAAGCAGGAACCTGAGTTTATAGGAGCAGTGTTTAAATACCCAATATTTGTCTTTTTGATTGTCTTACAGAAATCCACARGTGTTTCTTTATGGCTGTTTATTGAGAATATTGATTTGTAGTTAGGACCTGAGTATTGATAAAACAGGTTTTAATAGCTTAGTGACAAGATCAATATGTTAGGGTGTTCTGCTTCCTGTMATTTTTATATTCTTATTATTTTGCTAAATGTAATGTGATAAATTWTTGCTCTTACCAATTTATTCACCTTAATTAGATGATCTCAGACAATTTACTTGCTGCTGGATATAATGCATTCCTTTCCAAATAAAGCAGAAACTTCAATTGACTCGTTTCCAACTGTGTTTGCCATCCCTTGGGGTCTTGTTAAGCTTATTCAAGGCTTCTGGCTTCTAGATCACAATGATTACGAAGTAAGTATGGAACAGTTGAATTAGGCACACTTTGCAGTGCAGAGCTGTAATCAATCAAAAATTTTTAAAAATCACTATTTAGGTWTTAGGAGCTATTGACGCTTTTTTGTAACGCTGCTCTGACATCTTCAGCAGTAAGTGATGATTTGAAATTTTGCTTTAACTGCTTTACCACGAAATTGATGAAAACTGAGGAGTAGGCAACTTTAATAATACTAGATTTTTGAATTTTCAAAGCCATCTATAGTTAGGAGGTTTTAAATACACTGGTTGGGCTCTGTTTCTAAAAGAGTGTTTTGAGTACTTTAAACATCAAAACTGTGTTGGAAGCAGTGAGATTTGAGACAGAAGGCTGTAGAAATGTCTTTTCAACCTAATGCTGTTTTTCCTGATACTGAAGGTTATTCTTTGCTTGTCACCACATCTATAGAATCAATTTTTTTTAAAAGAGTAACTTACCTAGTACTGTATTTATAAAAAGGGATGTTTGTATACAGAGTTTTCTTAACTTGGAAAAATCTGAAATRCTCCTCTTAAAACATTAACTTYGTTCTGTATGGCTGKTTTTTTTTTTTTTTGCCTGAAGATACTGAGGAATTTTTACTGCTGTGTCCTGGATCAAGTATTTTACCAGTTAGACATTTAAGTTTGTTTAATGCCCCTTCAGCCTTGCTGAAGGCAATTTTGACTGTGCTTGTTGCATGGGTGTGTGTGTCTATAGTAATGAAGCTGCTCTCAACTTCTCCAGAATTCCCTGGCCCTGCTCTTCCATCCAGCTACGGTCAAAACTGTGTCATGGCAACACATGAGGATAATTCAGTCCCTCATGTGCCAGGGAGAGCACAGGCGAGCCCTCAGGTACATCCAGATGATGAAGCCGTCGATGTCCAGCAGCAGTGAAGTGCGGCTGCTCCTCACCGTGTTGTTGTCCAATAGGTGAGGAAATCTCTCCCACTGTTGTGGCATTGCAATCTTGGGAAATGTGGAGAACTGCTGATACAAATCAGGCTGCCCTCCATTTCCTTTGTTCTTTGAATGAATACCATCCCTTTGCAGCATCTTTTTGGCTCTGGTATTCCTATTCCTTTTCCTTTTTCAAACTCCAGGTGCATGGTGGAGGCTTGGGGTCTGCTGCAGCAGCACACCACGAAGCTCAACATAGAAGAGCTTTTAAGGCACATGTATGAAATCTGTCAGGAGATGGGGCTCATGGAAGATTTGCTGAAGCTGCCCTTCACAGATACGGAAAAAGTGAGTTTGGAGAAGAAAGTAAAAAAGCCTAATCATCTCGTTGGCAAGAGCAGAGGCAGAATCRTAAGAGATTTTTGAAATGTGTTATTTCTCACAGGAGTGTTTGGAGAAGTTTTTACAGACCAATGCTGGTGTTCAGAATCGTGAATTCCTTTTAGTCCATCATCTGCAGCGTGCCAACTACATCCCAGCACTCCAGCTGAATCAGTCCATGAAGGCTAGTCTAACGGTAAGGATAGACATCCTACTGTGTGAAATTATGAATTACATGTTGCAGACCATGGTTTACTCCCTTAAAAAAATCTGTTTGCCTCTGAGGAATAAATACGTATCTTGTCTTTTCATTTAGTTCCTCTGTTTTGTATGGCTTAAGACAATGGAAGTTTTTTTGTCACTGGTTTCTGTGGAATGAAGAGTATGTTGTATGCTGAGTCTTGTATCTTGCTTTTACCTGAGAGCAGTCTCGATGCTCTAAAGGTAAATTCTGCCTTGTGAGTTTTGAGATTGGTGATTTTTATATTTTGTTTTTTTTTAACTGGTCTTCCTTGCTAAAACTACCAGGTGAAATTGGTGTGTGCTCTTGGGTGGAATTTGCTGTGGCTCTGTGCAGGGGATATGTTCTCTTGGATCTGCGGAGCAAATTTAGGCCTTAGTTAGAAAGGGCAGAGATGGTTGTGTGCARTGAACTTCTGGTAAATCATYAACTTCTTGCTTTACCCATTTCCTTTGTCAGAACGATCGTGATCCTCGCTTGAGGGAGAGAGCAGTTGCCAGAAATTCTCTATTAGATCAATATGGCAAGATCCTTCCCACAGTTCAGAGGAAGTTGGCARTAGAGAGAGCCAAGCCGTACCGTTTGCCTTCATCAGTTTTAAGAGAAGGTAATTTTAGAAAAGTGAAATATGTTGTACAGCCAACCATAACTTTGATTACACAAGGCTGATGTGTTTCTCTCTTGCTTTACAGTCCCAAGGCCAAGGCCTTTATCAACTGTAACAAGGCAAGCTAATGCAGGAAATGTGCATACAAGAGCAACTTTTATCAGTAAGGTGTTGTCCAAAATTGGAGAAGTATGGTTAGGAAATGAGCAGAAAACAAATACGTCACAATATGATAGGTAAGCAGCCTTTTATAAAGGTTAGTCTTGGGCCTTTTGTTTGGAGMGGAAGGGAGATGTAGAGAGAGTGAGTGGGAGGGGGAGAGAAAAGAAAGAATTCTATTTGAATTGTGTTCGTTTTTTTTGGTGGGAAGGTGCATGTGAATAAAGCATTGTTTTCCTTTTTTGCACATACAGTATATAATATTTAAGAATCAGTTCATCATTAAGTAGTGTTTTTCTGCTGTGATAATCTCTGTACAAAAACATGTATTTACAGTATGGTAAATGTGTTTACAGTGTTTAAGACAGCTGAAACTCAAACTGTCATTGCCATGAAGCTGTTGGTGTACAGACTTTGGTAGACTTGTTTGTGTGATCACACACTAATTCAAAAATTAGCCRAATCACAAAGAGTGGAGAGAAGGCTTATAGTTACCAGATGATTTTCCTCCGTGGGATATTATCAAATAAACTTGAATTCTGGTATGGCTGRACTTTTGAGAGAATGAAAATCAGTTACATTTTCCTTTGCCTTCTAGTCCTAGAATTACAGAGCCACCAGTCAACACACATCCTCYCCCTGGTGCAGAACTGCCCGATGCATTTCTTGGGACACCTATTACCAAACTTTCTCAAAAATGTTCAAGGTATAGTAGATCTGCGCACTTTCTATTTCAAAAAGGTGTTGTTTGTCATGTATACATTATGTGTGTGTGTGTCTGTATATGCTTTTTTGGTTTACCAAGGATTCTRTTGCATTTAGTTTTGTATCTCAAAGAAAAAGTCAATTTAGGGTATGCAATTAAGTGGAAAAGTTAAAATGGTCCCTGCATTGAAATGTGGCTGAGTTTTCTCCACTGTTGAGAATTAGCTCACTTGTGCAATTTAAAATAGGGTTATTCTTACATCAGAGGCAGGGGTTTTGGAAATTAGGTATGAAATATAACAAATCATGAAAAAATGCCCCAAAGCACCYGTCACTTGTTTGTGGGACTGATAACCCCCAGCAGTGAGGTTGTATTTTTTGGTCAACCAGTATGTTTGCTCTGCATCATCTGAGATGATCACAGCATGATTTTTGTTCATTTATTTATCTATGTTCCTTGTTTAAATTGTTTATTTTAACAGATTGCTGGATTTGGTGGTTCGTCCTGTTCCTTCTCACTGTGTGGCACAGGATGAGAGCTGGCAGTCCCCATGCAGAGCTTCTACTTCTTTCATGGCATCCAGCCCCTTGAGATCAGATACACATCACTCCAGCTCCCGAAAGAATCTTCCAAGAGCATCAGAGCTGAATTTACTGGAAACTCCTCGTGTGGTCAAGGTTGGTATTTCAAACAGTCAGTAGCAACCAACCAGAAGAAAAACTTCTGATGTTTGTTTAAAGTGAAATCACTGAAGTTTTTAGCAGAAACACTTCTGGACTGAAATTTTCAGTATGCATATGGGTGCTGTATACATGGCCCTTTTGTAAGCAGTAAGTTGRGAACAGTTTTGAAGAGGGAAACTTTAGTTCTCAGGTGAGAACAGCTTGTACCATAGCTTTGTGAACTAAATTTGTTTTTATTGTATGGAACAAGTCCCTCTTTCCACGYTTTWCTTGTTCTGAAGTGCTATCCATACCAATGAGCTAGATTCATCCTCCTCTTTTGGAACTCTTTCAATACTGTAAAATAATCTGAATGCTTCTACATGAAGTTGGATAGTTATTTTTACAGCAGTGTCACTAACTTTTGTGTGTAGCTGATTGTTTAGTGGAAAAAAAAAAGCTGTGGCTCTTATTTTGCAGAATTGCTGTGGGATGCAGCAAAAAGCTGTGGGATGCTGTGCAGCAGCGCTGCTGTGTAGAGTAATGGTGAAGTTGTGTGCCTTTTATAAGAGCAGGGTAGAAATTGCAAAAATTAGTGTGATAGAAGATAACCTTGCAGAARACAACATGACTATATCCTTGTTTTTGGAAAAAAATAATTTTGAAATAGAATTTTTTTTGTTGGCATTACAAAAACAAATCAGAAGAAACATAAGTACGGGTTTTTATCTTTAATATGTTTGTATTATTGGAAAAATCATGTCTTCTTTTTGCTGCTGTAAACCTGGTATGTAATTTAAGGTAAATTAATTTTTGTAATTTAGGTTTTCTGTTTTGAATTTATTTTATTATTTTATTTGAATCTGATTTTAAATTAAATATTTTTTATTTCTTTTCCTAGAGAGCTAAAGTTTTGGCCACATCTTCTGGTTTTCCTGGGTTTACTCCTCAGTCTATTCTCAGGTCTAGCCTTCGCACTACACCCCTAGCAACTCCCTCTGCATCCCCAGGACGATCAGTTACTCCTCCTCTACGAGCCAAGGAACCTAGAATATCTTTCAGGGAAGAGAGCTCGAATGCCAAGTGGACTGTTGGGGTAAGCTGGGCTGCAGTCAGTGAGCTTTGCAGATGGTTCTGTGATGAAATTGAGATTTCAAAGGCTGCCAAAACTCCTTACATTGAGAATCTAGATTGTGAGTCAGAATGGCAGAATTTGGTCCAAAAAAAGATTGTTATGCTAGATCTTCTGTAGCATCACATTCCTACAAGAACATATTCGTAAGAAACATCAGAGACCTTGGTTTTTACTCAGAGGTTGTTAAGACCTCTGGTTGCTCAGAATTCAGCTGTACCTTTTCAGATGGTGGTGTTGCAGGAAGGTGAGGAATATAGATTGAGCCACTTGTTTAGGTTTGTTAAATTTTGCAAATTGAACATCTGGGAAAGCAACARAAGTCATAAAGCTGCATTGACTTTCAACCTGTCTTTTTACAATGTTGGGTTTACTTAAATTATGGTAAAAAGAGACTCCTGATTTAGAGAGCTAGTGTTTTCTGTTCTCTGAGCCCTAAAGTTCTCGTGTTTGCTTCTTGCCTTGCACGAGGGATAGCATCCCTGTAGTTTTCAAATGCAGTGGATCCTTCTGACGAGTTGTGACCCCTTCTGCCCCTGCAGCYGTTACTCAGCTGAATTCCATAGTTCAGCCCATCAGGCAGTTGCCAGGATAAAGTACCCAAATCAAGGGTGCAACGGGGCCGTGTGCTGCTATCTCATGTGTGAGTTTTTTGTATGTTAGGAAGAGCTACTCAATTGTAACAAGAGGTGCTCTCCTGGATGAAGTTCTTACTAATAGTGGCACTGTGACCAAATTAATTTACTCATTCCATGCCACAGGCATAATGAACACAGCATATGTTCTGTGTTCTGGTAGTGCATATGTGTTGAAAGAGAAATTCTGAGTTAGGTTTTTATTAGGCAAAGCTCTTCCTGAAAATGTCTTCCTGAAAATGTGCTACTAAACCCAGTGAAGGGCCTTGAGATGACATTATGAGCAAGCCCTTAAAAGACTTSATCTTAATTCTTCAGTGTCAGGGAAACTCAATAAGTAGTCAAAAGTGTTATTAATTTTTACACACTGTGTTAAATCTCAGTGCTACAATGAGAAGTAATTTTTTATTGCCTTAGTAAGGGAGCATGTGTAGCTTGGAAATACTGGTATTTGTTGGGTGGTTTTGTTTTGCTTTGACAAAAAGCATACTTTTGTTGCTGATGTAAACTTTTTTTAGGTGACAGAAGATGATAAAGCACTGTTTGGAGCTTCATCTGGGCATCATCATGGCTTGGAAGAGGATGCTTGCTCTGAAAGCAAAGATAAACCAGCTCTGTTTACTCCAAGCATGCCTGGGGATGGTCGTGCTGAATTGCAGGAGTCTTCAGAAAGCATATGTGGAGGTGATTTAGAGAAAATGGATGTCAGCAAAGAAAATAGTAACKTCTCTGTCAGATCAGACCAGACTACATTGGAGTATCATGATGCAAAATCACCTGGTGATTTTGAAGATGATGTCATCTTTATATCTGCTAAACCAGCTAACTCTTCCACTGAAGAAACTGCTGATGTTCAAGAATTGGAGAAGGAAGAAGAAAGTGAAATGGTTGAAGATGAATCTTTCCAGATGGAACAACCAGATTCTTCAGAACTAAGAACAGAAGCAGGTGTGTTTCATCCTGTGATAACCTAAGTTCCTGAAGTTTTCAAATGTCTTCAAAATATTAAATTACTGATGAGTGCAGCAGTTGGTGATGAGTTTTCATATACGCCCTGGGCTTTTAAAATTACCTCTCTGTTTTAAGTCCTTTTTTAGGAATCCTGGACCTATGAMTATATACTTTTCTTGGCTGGCATTTTTTTGTGTGTAGTTGCTGCTGAAAGGGAACAGCGATTTGTGGGAGTTTTGAGAGGGATACATTTTTAAAACTTGGGCTTCTGGTTATGTTTTAGGGGTACTTCTGTAGTTCGCAGGTTTTTTACATTGTTTGACTGAAATTATGTGTCAGACTTCTTGTTTTACTGGAAAGAACAGGCACCTTCTGTGCATTTGAAGTCTTGGTGGCATTATTTTGTTAAATCCCTAGACCAAATGCATAAAGGATCACTTTTAATGCATATGAGCAGTTTAAAAGAAGTGATGTTGAATACAATAGGGAATTCATCCATCTCTTCATTTCTGTAGGATTTGTGGAAGAATCAAATAGTGAATGTCATACCCTTCCTGAGGGTGATAAATTGGTGTTTAAAGCTGCTGAGGCTGCTGCTTCTGGCGCTGCGAATGAAGGGTGAGCTTATGAAGCAGATTCATCTTTTGAGTTCACACAACAATATAGCTGCTGKTTTTTCTGTGTTAGAAAATTGATTTTGACCTGGGATTAGTTCTTTCCTGTGTTCTTATATGTAAGGGCCTGTCTGTTCCATTCTGTCTCTGAGCGATAATAACCCGGCATGAATGTAATGCACATGGAGTACCTGTCAGTTTGAGCCTTTTTTCTCAAATCATTGCAGATCCCAAAGTATGATGATAAAGACTTTATTCGACAGTCTATATAGACCTTGTTACAGTTTGAGAGTTACTAAGCACATACTGTGAACATAAGCCCTGCTTTTTCTGAAAATTGTGTAGTTGAAAATTAATCCTGAGATTCCTGTCACTTCAGTGGGTTTATTTTGGAGTTTGAATGCTTTCTGACAGTATTTTTTACACCTAATTTCTGTTTTCTTTATTAGCAATTAGCATCTGTTTGTTTATAGAAAGTGAAGCAGTTTTCTCACGAGGTACTTTAAAAGCTGCAGCTGCTTAGTGATAAAGACAGAATGTTAGCAGTGGGATAACTCTTAATTTCAAGTGGTAACTTTTACCTGTACAGACTTGTGTTTAGTTGGTTCTGAACCCCTGTTATAGTAGTTGCCTTCTTTCTACAGAAGACAAATAATCCATTTTCCTTAATACAGGTCTGTTATGTTATTGTCTAGTGTTAGATAGCTGGAAAGAACGTTAAGTACTTGGTTTGTTGCATAATTCACTTTACAAGGTAAATTACAAATTAAATCACAAATGGAATATGATGATAGAGGAATTTCTAATTTTTCTTGTGTTTTTTCTGGTTTGAAATGTGGAGGTTTTACAGTGATAAAGTAATTTATAAAKCTCTTAAAAGTTTGTTTTCAAGTTTGATGATGAATGTCTCTCTTTCTGTTCATGAAGTGAAATAAACAACCAAGAGTCCGAAATGACCTCTTCATCAGAAGAAAAAGCCCTACTGGTTGCAACAAATSCCCAGCTCTCTGAATCCCTGGATGCAGACAGTGAATGTATGTTGGAAATGTTCTGTGTATTAAGGTAGCAGAGCTCCTCAAGTGAAATGCRTAGTTTGCCATGCCACTACAGATGTTTCAGATTGAGATAGTAGTAACATGTTACTGGTGACTTTCATTAAACTGTAGAGAGAATACCTTCCTTTAAGAAAGTCCTTGTACAAAGTGCACAGTGAATCATCTCGATCAAAGCTGAGATGCTGATAGAACTGAAAGTATTAAAAGGAGAGGTCAGTATTTATTTTAATGTTGTACACCACTATCARTTTGTGTGCCATGGGATCTGCTGCTCGATTTACTACTTTAAAAGATGATTCATCCTCAGTATTCAGACTGAAGAAGCCATCTACTGGTGTGCCTTTCCAGCCGACTTTTCTTTTTCCTCTATGGGTTTGATAGCTGATTTTCTCCTCCTTCTTTCTTGCTATGGAGCTGCATACTTTACCAGATCTGTAGTTGCACAGTTTTAAGCCAGTTGACAACAAAGCCTTCCACAGCTGCTCTCACTCATTTTCCCTCGGTGGAAACTGGRGGAGAGAATCAGAGAGCTAAAGGTGGTAACTTGTGGTTTGAGATAAAGACATCTAAATAGGGAAAGCAAAAGTCTTGCATTCCCCATCTTTTATGCTGAATGTGATGCCATATGTTATGGGATGTCAGTTGGGGTCGGCTGTCCTGGCCRTGTCCCCTCCCATCTCTTTGTGCACCCCCAGCTCACTMACTGCCGGTGTGGTGTGAGAAGCAGAAAGCCTTGGCTCTGTGTGAGTGCTGTTCAACAGTAACTAAAACATCCCTGTGTTATCAGCACTGCCTTCAGCTCAAATCCAGAGTACAGCAGTGCCAGCTACTATGAAGAAATTTAACTATTCTGGCCAAAACCAGCATAATAGTTTTAGCTTTTGGAGAAAGACCCAATATATGTGGCAGGGTAAAGAACCATATTGTTGGCTCCCTATGTTACTTGCTTTAGCTTAAACTTCTGTTATTTATATAACAGTTAAGGTAAAATTATGTAAATCTTTTCTAGCTGTGATAAGTATCCTTGACAATGAGGATGTGATCCGTACTCAGTCTGAAAATCACCTTGAGGGCAAATGCGTGGTTTTACCTGAAGAATGTAACTCTGAAGCAGCTGAAGTCCCTGTTTCTAACAATCCTCCTAAAACTGAGGAAATCAATGTAAGTAAACTATTTTCTCTTTTTCTACAAMATAGAAAACAGTTTGCAAATTGAGGACAGGCCTATTTTGCTGACAATTATGAGGTACTCAAAAATATGTCAATTTCTTGAGCTGCTTAAAACAAGTTAAAACCTTATTGTTGTAAGAGCAGTTACGTTTTTCTCTTCTGCATTTTGTGCCCCTATAGCATGAATGGAACTTGTCAAGATTAGGTCTTTGAGAGCAAAAAAAAYAAATGCCTAAACTATTTTTTAAAATAGCTGTGCATTAACTTGGTTTACTTGAATTCAATTTTTTTTTTATTTGACTTTGTTTTGAAGACGATAAGAAAGTTACAGGAGTGCAGCTTCTTTGTACCAGGGACCATTTACAAATGACAAGATGTGGGAACCAAACTCACTTTCAGAATGATTTAGGTGCTTTGGTCCTTTATTATTTGTTCCTTCTTAACACTAACCGAATTCCCAGTAGTGAGCTCATTTTAGTGTCAAGATATTTCTTCATGAGATGGAGGTATTTAGAAACTACGTGTTACCTCATGCAGTCCAAGTGACTCCTTCAAGTGCAGTGTTGAGTTGTTGGATACGATACTTGGCCAGTCTGACTAATTGCTGCAGTCACAGCTATCATGGCTGGAGCTTTAAGCAATGGGGATCCAACGTTACCCTGTCAGATGCAGAGTGGGTCACYCTGGATGTGTAGCAGTGCAGAGGGCACTGYARTGTGATGTYACAGCTGGTTCTGTACACACSTTGTGTTGGAAAACTGCTCCCTGGCTATGGGCAGTGGCAAATTGTTARTTCTGGACAGAAATATCAGMAACAGAGCATGTGGCTGAACACAGGGACTGCTCTGATCTCTGTGCCTTAAACACAAATTGTCATCTGTAGGACAGAGTACCTTGTTTAACATTCAGGGGGGGATCTGAAAGGGAGAGCAGCTTTTCATTGTCCTCAGTTTCATCTAGATCCGTGTGTAATGAGTCTGTTTGATAGTGAATAAGGTTCTAACAGACATGTTTTAATTTTAGGTTATTGATGATACCTCAGAACCAGCACCTGAAACATCACCATACACTGAACTAGATCCATCAGGCAATCTTCATTATAACTATGAAAATATAGAGCAACAGTTTGCATGTGATTTGCSTGATAATAAAGAATGTGATGCAGCTGAAGGAGATGGAGACCTTTTTCTATCTCAGAGTAATTTTACCTTAGTTTTGGAAGGAGAAGAAGGGGAAGCAGAGATGGCCGACCCTACATCAGTWGATGCTTGTAAACCAGATGACACAGCAGCGGAAAAGCCTGTGACCAATTTAGGAAATACTGCAAGCCAGGAACATGTTACAAACTCAGTATCCACTGTAACTGGAGATCAGGAATCTCAAAATATTGCAGAGTCACTCCCATATGTGCCTGAACCTATTAAGGTTGCCATTGCTGAGAACTTACTGGATGTAATCAAAGACACAAGAAGTAAAGAATTTACATCTGAAGCTGTAGAACAATCTATTCATGAAACCATAGGTAAAAAGGTAACTAGATTCCAGAAGGCAAAAGCTCCCTTAACACCTGTACTAGAAGCAGTGGGAGAGGAGACCAGCAGACATCAGTATGGCGTTGCTCCTAGAACACGCACAAGAGGACAGCTGAGTAGAAGTCCAAGTGTTCTGTCAGCAGGTGCTCAGCAGCTGCTGAAGACAGACAGCCCAGCTTTGCTTGGACTGACTCCTCGGAGAAGTACCAGACGAGCAAGAGAAGCATCTGAGATTCCCAGTGTCCAGACAGGGGAGAATGCTCAAGAGGAGCAAATACCTGTGACACCTGTTACTCCTAGGAGAGGTAGGAAACCTAAAGTGTCTAATTTGGAAAAAACAGAAAGCAGCCATTCTGATGGACAAACCTTGTCTGACAGTATGCAGTCTGTAGCTGTTACTCCCAGAAGAGGATTAAGGAGAGCAAAAGAAGCTGCATCTGAACTCAAAGAAGAGGCTCATGAGGAAACGCCTCTTGCTGAGGGCAGCATTATTGCTTCTTCTGCTTCCAAACGGACTAAGGGAGGAAAAAGTTCAGATGGAAATCCAGAAACCGGCAGTACTGACACTGATCATAAGGTAAAAACAGCAGTCAGTCCCAGTAGAAGTGCAAGAAAATTGAAAAGCTTTAATTTGCAGTTTACTGAAGATACTGTCAAGGATCAAGAGGTGCAGCTTAGTGACCAGCTTCTTTTACCTGTGCCAGCTAAAAGAGGCAGAAGAAGAAAGATTAGTTCATCAGAAGTTTTGGAAAATTCTGATCTTGATCTGTCTAAATCATCACTTCCTCAAACAGAATTTAAACTTCCTGTCACACCTAGAAGAAGTGCTAGGAAGGCAGCACAAAATCTCTTGGCAGACCCAGCGGCTACCTCTACTCAGGAACATGTACATTCGGGTGGGAAATTAGAAGTCCTTGATACTCCTAAGAGAAGAAATAGAAGAATACCACATGAGAATCCAGAGAAAGTGGATACTCAGGAGCAAACACCTGCAGAGCCAAGTGAGGAGCCAGCCACACCCAGGACTATGGCAAGGACAGGGCGTCGGGGCAGGAAGAAGCGATCAATGTCTGAAGAGACCTCCCAAGGACCTGCTGGCAGTCCTTTGCTGCTTGAAGACATAAACCCATCAGGACATGATCAGCCATCAAGAGCTCTGACAGATCGTGTAACAAGAACCAGATTCCGTAGAACTGGCATCCATCAGAAACTGTCCGTTGAAGAAAATGAGGCTTTTCTTTTCTCTCCTCCTCTCACAAAGCTGACAAAGAAATTTGAAGGTAGGTGCACTAGATTTATGTGCAAAATAGGGCATATTCCTTGTCTTTAAACCACAGAAAACACACTGTGAAGATGGCTTTAAGTATCATAAAGAATGTAAACATGCCGAAGAAAGAATTTGCAAAGAGGCAGTAAATCTTTTGGCTGAACTATGTGTGACTGCCTGCTTAGTTCTGGTTGAAACAGATTATGAGGCTGATCTAAGCAGTGAAATGAAATTTAAGCCATATTTTTGTGAGGAGCTTAATTTGAATCAGATTTTGAAAACCTTGTGAATATATTACTGCCATCCCTTTACCCAGCAAAGAAATAAAGGATGTGTGCTTCCAAATCTCAGTTTTCAAGTTGAGATGAGCTGCACCTTGCAACAAACTATCCAGCTGTTTAATTATGTGATTATTTCTCATGAGTGTATACTTAGTCAATGAAATTAGTGTACACAGGAGTCTTAATTAGAGTATATGATGAATTTTTTTGAGATGYGTAAGGACTGTTGATGCCTCTGGGGTATACAATTTATGTTAGTGCAGGTAAATTCACTACATTGGCTTAGTTTTGTTTCACTATTTATGGTAAAAGAATGGATCCCAAGAGGAAGTTACTATAGAAAAATGCCTTTGCATGAAGTGTTTATAAAGCTGATTGGACTTCTTAATGTGCTCTTATTTATCAGCTATAATTTAATATTATTGTCCCTCATATATAATATATACTAACAATGCGTTGTCATTTTAGCTGGAAAAGCAGACCATCCTGTGCAGTTTAAGGATTTAGACCCGGAGTTGTCTTCTCAATTTGTCTTTTCACCCCCTCTTTTGAGGTCGAGGAGAAAAAATGTAGCTAACATTTCCCGAATTGTGAAAGAATCAGTAAGTAAAAACTCCGTTTTTGTCTCATGTTCTTGGTTCTTAGTTCCCTGCCATTCTTTGAGATCATACTTTGCAATGCTTTGCCTTTTTCATTGGAAGCACATCTAAAAAGAGCTTTAAATGAATGAGCTATAAAATGTATTGTTTTTCTACATGAAAACTAATTTAAAAAAACAGGTTTGAATCTAAGTCAAGAACTGATAAATACTGTTTTGCCTTTGACAAAAGGCACAGTGGCTTTCTTTAAACTTACTTGGTATTCTGCCTGTTAATTTCAAATTTGAACTTTTGGAATGGTAAAATAATTTGATGTGCAAAGTTTGATTTTGCAAACAAAGGGTACTTTATGCTTTTGGAAATAACTTTGCCATGATGTCTTTGTCATCTGTAGTTCATGAGTAACATTTTTGTTGCCTTAACATAGGAACCTCCAGCTAAAGAGGAAGAGGATACCAAATCCATAGAGTCTGAGGGAAAGCAAAAATTGAAGAGAGGTAGAACTCCAAAATCAAAAACGAAGAAAGCAAGCAAGTATGAAATAAGTTTTGAACAGTTATTTGCATCTCTTTATTGTGGTAGGGATTCAGCTGTTAAGCACGTAGCTCCTTCTTCGCTTGGCTGCASAGTTCTTTTCTAACTCTATCAGCCTGTCCAGCCTGCTGGTCTAATAGGCACCTTTTCCCCATTAAAAGGTTTGGTTTCCTAATGGAAACAAAGAGGAAGGGGATACAAAAGGGCAGGTGGATACTAATTGCAGTAGTGACATCGCAATGCTCTTACATTGTCTTATTCCACCTTACGAAACCACACTCCTACAGTTTAGTTTCTCATACAAGGCAGGAAGTGGCCAGACAACGAATAAAGGGAATGAAAACAAACCTTATTTGTGTATCTTTTTTGCCTCAATTCTATCTACAAAGWAGCCCATGCATTTTTCTTTGGCATTTATTGTGTGATTCCATGTTGTTTCTTCCCTCAATAAAATACTGTTGGTAATGAAAAATGGATTTGATGCCTATCCTTCTTTTCAGAACCACAAAAGAAGGTTCTTGGTCACCTCCACCAGTGGAAATAAAATTCATCTCTCCTTTTGGAAGTCCAGTGGATGGAACAAAAACCAAACAGAAAGAAACTACAGATGCAGCAGGGAAGACTCTAAGAAAGAACAAAAAAAGACTGTCTAATTTTCCAAAGCCAGTTGTGCGCCGGAAGATGCTGTAACTGTTTTTTAAGTTTATAATGTACACCACTGTAAAGTCATCAAAATTGTGTGAATTAGTAAAAAATAAGAAGAATCATCTAATTTGGAAGAGATAATTTATATAAATTATTGTAAAATTTCATAAAAAAATGGTCTTCAGTAAGTAACTCCATATGGAGTGTGATTTCCTCAGTCAGTGCAGTTTTCTATTTTATATTAAGACTTCATACATTTATATAATATGTAAATACAGCTTATTTTAGGAATGTTAAATAAAAATGTATACTTCACAATGTGCTTATTGTCTGATAGCTTTCTGAGGGAATATTGGGTTGAATGACCAGAATTGCTCAGAACTTTTAATATTGGTTTGTGGGAGTTACAGACTCTCAAAAGTGATTCCAAAAGCTTTTTAAAAATTTGTTTAGAATTCCTATAACAGGTAAACATTTTAAACACAGTAGTTTTCATTTTAGAAATTATGTTTGACCTTCTGGCTCAAATAATTGGACTTACAATAGAAACTGGTAATTCCTTACATTCACGGTTAAGTTGTACTGTATTGAAGTCAGAATGTAAACAATTGTGTTTTAAGCTGTGCAATATTTTTTTTTGTATTTGTCTTAAACTTTGGGAAAGCTGCTCTTCAGTTTRTAAAACCAGATCACACCTCAGACGTGTCATTATTTCTTGAGATTTGTTGTCAGCAAAAAGTTAACTGTAGAGATGGTGTGATGCTTACAATAGCATATCAAATTTAAAGGGATACTACCCAGRTACTTTGAAATTTGAGGCAAAATTATTTTCGTAATATGACTGCTATTATAATTGAAATACTTACTGTCTGTAAACATGCTTTGCAGTATTTGAAGCCTGCATATCACAGCACTGAAACCCTGATGGTAAAGCTAATATAACAGTCTGAAAAAGGTACAAAAATGTACCTTAGTTACAAACCGTATTTTTRAATAATTATTTCATTAACAGTCTTGGGTTAAGGAATATATGTCCCTATAAGTTTCAATTTGTATAAATAAAGTCACAAACCTATTCTTTTAAAAGCAGACATGGAAGTACTATTTTGATGTGCAGTCTTTTAGACAATGGATTATTTTTCTGTATGTTAATTTATATATGGATGCAACTTTGAAGACTACAGAATGGTGGAACCTGATATTAAACTTTTCAATTAGTAAAAACTGCTACAGTTATTTTAAACACAATTTTTTTATTAACTGATACCTTGTACATAGTGAATGAATGTCTTAATAACAGACTGACCTTGTGAAAGAAGATTGTTCTGGGGCCATGATTTTTTTATCGCAGAATAGGCCATTCTGGAGAAGCAATTGCATGCACTTGGATATTTTTCATGGGGGAGYATTCATGACTGAAGGAGAGATTAAAGAAATGTCAGATGTTTACAGTGTGAAAGTGACAGTTTGCTTGAGACTTTGCAGTCAAGTTAGTCATTCTTTGTGTATTTTGTACTTGAATGACAGTATAAATATGGCCAAAGACAAAAGGGGAGGGAAGTTCTGGCAATTTTTTCTTTATATTCGCGTTGCACAGAAGTGCAATGAATAGCTCAGAAAATGGGGTAAAAGGTCAAATTTTTAAAATTGGAATAGATGGCAAATCTGATTGTTTTGTATAGTGTGCAAGAGTATTGATAAAATACGCCTATTACTGTCAAATGGAATTGAGGGCTGAAATGCTAGTGAAGATTGCTTACAGGGTTTTAACACATATTTCATTTTTATGTATGTGTGTATTTTTTTGGTATAAAAATCAGTTAGAACAAATGAAAACAGCATTAGCTGTTTTTACTGATTTTTAACCTTTATTTRCAGCTCATTGAAATTATCCTCGTTTGGCTGTACTAAGGAAGAAAGCAAGCAATGGCAATAAAAGACAATTGGCATTAGATTTAATAATGTCCTAAAGGTTTGCAATTTTCTAGTAATTTTTTACTTAATTAAAACTCCCTTTATGTGTTAAAATGTTTACTATTTTTTTCCGTTTTTGTAACTTTGATTCAGTGCATAGTTCTCTAGAGCTGACCAGTTTGCCTGAGGAGCAGTTTGAAAAGGAGTGTGAGCATGATGTGTAACAAGGAGTGGGAGCTGAGAAATCTGAAGGACAGAGAAGGAAACTGAAACAAAACCAGACACTGTGACTTTTTGTTTGGAGCCCGAGGAAAGRAAGAAGCTGGTGAACAGTGTTAACGCACCAGCTCAAGAAGGGGTTTAAAATGAAATGGGGAAAATAGATTTTATGTGGGTGCTTTTTGTGTAGGCTTGCTACAAGTACGTGAAGGATGTAGAAAAGACGATTTGCAGGTGTTGGGTTATGTATCTGAGAGAACTGTCGTGCTAGAGAAGGGCAGGAGGGTCCTGTGAGAGAAAGGTGGGATGCATTGTGGTGTGGATGGAGGCTGTAAGGGCAATTTTCTTAAAACAAGATGGGAATTTCAAAGGAACTACAGCTCGTCACATAGAGAAATAAATAGAACATTCTGAAGCTTTTCTGTAGGAAAGTAATTGCTTGGAGTGTATGTTTTTGTCCCCTAAAGAAATGCTAGAATTCCTTAATAGTGTATTAATGTATCTGCTTTAATCCAGTGTGAGATGGATTAAAAGCTGAAGCCGGATGGGGCATCTGTAGCTTTGGGGATATAACCCCAGAGAAAACTCCACTGGGAGRTTGACTGCCTTGGGTCAGCAGAATCTTACCTTTCAGAAAGAATAAAAATGGGCATAATGGCAGATTTTATTTCCAGGAAACATAGAAGAYACTAATGACAGGAGTAGGAATAACATTAAGGGCTGTTGCTAGAAGGTATTGAAAGGAATGAGAAGGGAGTGTCTACAAATAGACTAACTCTGGGGGTAAGATAAGGCTGATACTAGGAAATAGAAGGAAACAATGAGAAAAATTTCCATAAGAATTCCTTTGATTGACTTATCCGAGACTATGTTAACAGACGACAACAGCAGAGACACAGAAATGTATATTGAAAGGGGGCAATGTATGATAGAAGGTTTCATTAAGCAGTTCATAAAGCCTGTACCTCTCAACTACCTCAGCCAATGCAGAAAGAGAGAACTTAGGATAAAAAGAGGCTGTGTCCTCTCTGAATTTGAGAGAGCCCATAGAAAATGTCCATGATCTCTTATTTTTACACATAATCCTCCAGTGCTTGTAGGTTAGTTTTCCTGACAAGATGGGGACTCGTCCGGGATCTTTCCACCGGCCGGGGGCGGCGGGCAGCAAGTGGAGCTGAAGGCGCGCCTCACCCAGTTTTGGTGATCAGCTGCTCTTGGTGGCGGCTGGCACCGGGCGATTGGTTGGGTTCCCGAGACTGTCCAGGAGACAGACGAGTGGCGGACCGGGGGTTCCGTGAAGAGTCCGCAGGGAAGGACCACTGAAAACCTCACCAGTGAGGAAATGGGACCTTCGGGGAGTAAACCTGGGAGGGCACCCAAGGAGGGTAGCACAGGTAAACCTGGGAAAGCACCCAAGGAAAGAAGCACAAGTAAAACAAGACACCCAAAGAAAGTAGCACAGGTAAACCTGAGGAGACACCTAAAGGTTGTAGCACAGGTAAACCTAAGAAGACACCTATGGAGAGTTGAAAAAGTAAAGCTGAGAAGAGGCCCTGGCAAAAGAGATGACAATCCCAAAACATCTCTAAAGAGTACCTTGAAAAAATATCAAGTTAGTTTGCACATTCTCCCAAGGACATGGACACCMWAGGGRGAGTYGAGAAGGGGTYTTGACAATCCATGCTCAGGGGGGCAATAAGAGGAGTACAAAGGAAGGTAGTCAAGACAAAGAGCGGAAAGACCGAGCACGGAAGTGCCGGACCGAGAGCACGGGCTGGGGTTCTGTGGGGAGGCRCTGGGTCGGGCCGGGACTGTGAGTGAGCTGCGGGCTCAGTGCCGGGCAGTCCCTGACTCTACGACCCGGCCCGGGCAGGGGCAGCAGTGSCCTCCAATCTCCAKGAGGCTGCGGGACGCTCCGGCCGCCTGTGGTGCTGCCGGCTGTGCCCACTGAGAGCGCCGGGGAGGGCTGCGTTTAGATACTGCGAAAGGAATATCTGGGACATGCAAACTGCATAGAAAAATCAGGATTTTCTTTTAAAGATTTTGTTAAGTCACTAGAGAAACAAGTAATTTTAATCTGTGTGAGAAGGGGTAAGGAAAAAGTGATAGCAGAGTTATTACAACCCCAGAAGAGTAAACTGCAGGACGCAAAGAGGCACCTGAGAGGGAAGGGACGAAGTCAGCCGCAAAGATGTAGCAAAGGCATTCCCTCCTCGGCAGGGGAGAGCAAACTCAAACAGCGGCTAAGAAGAAATCTGTGTGCTCTCTGTGGGACGGTGAGACACTAGAAGCAAGAATGTCCGCAAAAACAGTGAGATCCTAAAGAAGAAGAAATCCAGAGGATAATGGAGATGGATTGTTAGGGGTGTCAGAAGATCCCATTATACCAAGAACCCACCACACAAAAACTCTTGATAACTTTTAAAGTTAATCTGGATCAGGAAGAGCTGTGTTTCCTAGTAGACATGGGAGCCTCTYGATCCACTTTGAATTTTATCCCTAAGGGGGGAAAATTGTCAAAAATATCTTTAATTATTTAAAGAGTGAGTAAAAAAGACGAATGAATGTGCTTTATCCAATCACTATTAGTATACGTAAAAGATAAGTTTAAAATGCATAAAATCCTGTTAGTTCCTAATTGGGATTATAATTTACTAGAAAAAAAATTAATAGCTAAAGTAAAAATGCAAATATAAAAAAATGATACAAAAGCTAACACTAAAGTGTTTTATAAATTCAAGTCCTTAAAGAGTTCGACTCCCCTCTATTGTTTTGAAAATTTCAAGTTCTCTCTATAGTATTTTAAAAGATTCAATTCTTCTCTCTAATGTTTTATAAAGTTAAAGTCCCCTTTGTACTGTTACATAAAAGCGCTGAGTTCAATTCTCAACTATAAAAAAAMCAAATTTTAATCCTGCAAAATATACTATGCATGTTTTTAAGCAGAATTTGCTCAAGTGCTTTCGAATTTTTTCTAAGAATTTATGTGTGCATTGTACACAAATTACCTGTATGTGTGTAATAACTTATATTTCAACAACACATAAAATCAATGCAAAAACACCCATGAAATAGAAGTMATTTACTAAAAGAGTGTTAAAACATAACTTTAAAGTATCTACTTAGTTCTAATATGTGCTATTGAGTRCCATTTTAGAAATTCTTTTGTATGTGTGTAGATATAACTGCCCAAGAACTACTGTTCCAAGCAGCCAGGAGCGCAGTCTTAGAAATGGAAATGAATGCTACTAAGGGGAAARGTGTAGGCATGTGTGTGCCTCAACCCCAAACTGTGCCTATTTACAAAGACATTGCAAAATAAAAAACTTTCCAAAGCGGGGAGGAGGAACTAGCAGAAATTCATCCCTCTCCCCTCTTCAACATGTGTTAAGTGTATCTACACAAACATGAGAAAGAACAACTCAAGCCAAAAAACAAGAAAGRGTAGTTAGAAAAGCTACTGTAAAAGTACTTAATTTTCTTGCTGGAGTGGGGCTTAAAATCTAGAAAGCAATGCAGTTAAATTTGGCACACAAAGAAAATTAAAATTGCTATTGCCCCAAACAAAGAAGAAGTTACGGCAGTTTTAAAGAGTAGTGAAGTACTGCAAAACATAAATTAAAAATTTTTCTGTTGTGGCCAGAAGACAATCCTAAATGTTGTAATATAGATGCCAGGAAAAAAGCAAAGGTTTAAAAAATTAAAAGACAAATTAGTTAATRCCCCAATCTTAGCTCTTCCAGACTAAAAAAAACCAAAAAACTTAAACCATTTGTAAATGTTAAACAAAGCCATGCTAAAAAAATTCTAGTACCAAAGCATAAAAAACCACAATAACATGTTGCTTATTTTTCTAAGTTATTAAATCCAGTAGCCAAAAGCTAGCCKCATTATCTGCAGAATTGTACAGCCACAGCATTAATAGTGACTAAAGCCYGAAAACTAACAAAAAAAAGATATCTAATGTTAAATTTTCACATTAAAATAAAACTTTATAAACCAAAAAAGCCTCTAAGTAAATAATCAGTACTCACTTTTTGCAGTATAAAACTTATTTAATAAAAGAAAAAAAATTGGAATTGAAAAGTAAAAAAAAAGTTTAACCCAGCCTCCTATTTAAATAACCCTGAAAAAAAGAGCCAGAAAAAGCCCCATAACTACACTTAAGTAAAAGATCTCCAGACCTAAGCTGGAGAAAAATTGTAAGATGCTCCCTAACCTGAGGAAGAAAAAGTGTTTATTGATGAGTCTTCAAGAGTGATTAAAAAAAAGCAATTCACAAAATACCTATCACTTTAAAAAAAGATGAAAAAAAAGTTACTGCCCACCTAGTCAGCTCAGACAGAAGAGCTGTATGCGSTTGTAAGAGCATGTGAATTATATCAAGACAAAATAGTATTTTTCCTGATTCTAAATATGCATATGGGGTGATACATGCATTTAGAAAATTATAAAAAAAATTACTAATCTGCAAAGAAAAAAAAGGTTAGCTCTTGAGAGCGTAATTTCTCACCTATTAAAAGTAGTAAATTTTACCCAAAAAATAGCAATAATATGCATTAAGAAACCCCAGGCAGTGTACTCAAAAAATCAGTAAGTAACCACCTAACTGACAAAGAGAGTCAAAAARTGCACTGCTGCCAGAAATCTCTACAAAAAATAGCAAACAGTAAATACCAAAAGCTCTAACCTTACAAATATTAAAACAACTCCATAAAAAGAATCATTAAAGCTCTCAAAGTTTAGCAGAAGCCTTCCCAAAATATATGTTGCTGTGAGTCTTTTTACTCCAGCACAGCAAGCTATTAAAAGGTGTTTAATTTGTGCTAAAACCAGTAATAAAGTTGCAAAAAAACTGCCAGGGGAGGGAAGCCTTAAGCTACAGTCCCTTTCATCAAATTTGTCTCAAGTAAAAAAGTTAAAATATCTTCTAGCAATAGTATA